CGCCTTCACCCGCCCCCCTGGTCACGTCACGATTCGCGCTGGCCCCGTGCGGGAAGTAGCCCTGCCCGGGCATTCCCAGAGGGCGCTGGCGCGAATCGGGGCGTGACCGGCCCCCTCCCCCTCTCCACTCCCCGTGGTCGCGCCCGTTACGCCAGGGCATAAAAAGAACGGTCTCGAAGCTCTCAAGAGACTCCCAGCAAGCCCCATAAGCAAACGCTACGTGGTACGATACCCGAAGGTCGTGAACACCTCCGCTGCCAGTGTGAACGTTTTTTTTCGTATATGGGGAAGACGGTCTGGCAGTCTGGCCGTCCGAGCTCGAGGCAAATTCTCGCGGTGAGCGGGGAAACGGCCGCTCATGCATAAATGTGTACTTGGCCGACGACCCATCAGCACCGATTTGCTCACACATCTGTTGCACGACTTCGGAGGCTGGCCACAGCGAGTCAATGACGTCATCACTGCTCGCCCTCCTCTTCTTCGTCGAACTCGCCCTCCTCCTCGGCGGTGGCATCCTGGTACTGCTGGTACTCGGAAACCAAGTCGTTCATGTTACTCTCGGCCTCGGTGAACTCCATCTCGTCCATGCCCTCCCCTGTGTACCAATGAAGGAACGCCTTGCGCCGGAACATGGCAGTGAAATATTCTGCTACACGCTTAAACATTTCTTGGATCGCGGTAGGGCGAAAGCCACCGCCACCTTCAATCCCTTCGGGGGGATGTCGCAAACTGACGCTTTGATGTTGTTCGGGATCCACTCGACGAAATACGACGAATTCTTATTTTGCACATTCAACATCTGCTCGTCAACTTCCTTCGTGGACATGCGACCGCGGAAGAGCGCCGCGGCGGTCAAGTAGCGACCGTGACGTGGGTCTGCCGCGCACATCATGTTTTTCGCATCGAACATCTGCTGGGTCAGCTCAGGGACTGTCAGGGCTCTGTACTGCTGGGAACCTCGGCTCGTGAGCGGCGCGAAACCAGTCATGAAGAAGTGCAGGCGCGGGAACGGGATCAGATTCACGGCGATCTTGCGCAAATCACAGTTGAGCTGCCCAGGGAAACGCAGGCACGTGGTCACGCCACTGATCGCCGCACTCACGAGGTGGTTCAGGTCCCCGTACGTTGGAGTCGTCAGCTTCAACGTCCTGAAACAGATATCATACAGCGCCTCGTTATCCAACAGGAAACATTCGTCCGCGTTCTCCACGAGCTGGTGGAAAGAAAGGACGGCGTTGTACGGCTCCACGACGGTATCCGAAACTTTTGGGCTGGGGATAATACTGAAAGTCTCCATGATGCGATCCGGGCACTCCTCGCGGACCTTGGAGATCAGCAGGGTTCCCATCCCAGCGCCTGTGCCTCCTCCCAAGGAATGGCACATTTGGAAACCCTGCAGGCAATCGCACCCCTCGGCCTCCTTGCGAACGACGTCGAGGACGCTATCGATCAGCTCGGCTCCTTCGGTGTAGTGCCCTTTCGCCCAATTATTTCCAGCTCCAGTCTGGCCGAATACGAAGTTGTCCGGCCGGAATAACTGCCCGAACGGCCCCGCGCGGACGCTGTCCATGGTGCCAGGCTCCAGATCCATGAGCACCGCCCTGGGCACGTAGCGCCCGCCCGTGGCCTCGTTGTAGTACACGTTAATCCGCTCAAGCTGGAGGTCGGAGTCGCCGTGGTAGGTACCCGTGGGGTCAATCCCGTGCTCACTCTGCTGGCCCGGCTAACTGGCACGAACACCACAGCCTTTGGGGATAAAGAAAAGCGGCATCGTCCCAACAGACACCCACCACCATCTCGCCCACGAGCTCAACCACGACAAACACAGAGGTATCCCAGGGGCGGTGTGTTGCCCCAGTGAAGGGGAGCATCCCACCATGCGTCGTAATCCAGCCACAGGAAAGACGTGAGACTCCGCGGCCCACCGCCGGAACATCACAAAGCGTACTAGGCATGCATTGTCAAGGAAGATCAGCACAAGGTAAAACAGTACAAGGTAAAAACAATGCTGCCCGGGACTGGCTGCCCGAGCTCACCTCTGACGCCGCTTGGACTTAGCCTGCGGCGTCCCGCGATGGGATTCGTCATGGCACCGTTGGCACCGCCCTCCCGCTTTACAGCCACCTTTCGAGAAGTAGCGGATGCAGACCACCTCGCAGGGGCAGGCAGGCATGTCGGTGTCGGGCGGGGCGGTAGACGAGCAGGCCTCGGAAGGCTTCGCAGCGGCAGGCTGGGAAGCTGAGCCGGCACCTGGGCCTCCTGAGCTAGACGCGGCTGCGCCTGCAATGGGGCTCTCGTCCAAGTAGTCCAAGGCCTCCGCCTCGTCCACGGACTCGTCCTCCTCTTCCTCCTCCTCGGCCTTGCCGTACCAGCGATCAATATCGGCCATGACCGATTCCGCCTCGAGGATGTCGTGCTCGCGCTCCGCGGCAAAATCCACCTGGGGCCACGGCTGGAGATGCGTCCAGTGTTCCGGCCTGTACCCGTAGAGCTCATCCATGTCGAAAGCAGCAAGAGTCTCGGGCGTGTGGCCATAGTCGAACCAGACGACGTTGACGGGATCCAAGGCGATGGCCTCGGGCTCGTAGTCATCGTCCTTGGGGTGAGTACGTGAATCATCACGGCGGACCTCGACCGCGACCCTGCCGTTAGGCGCGTGGCCGGCCACCCACCCAAGCCGCCCATTGAGGGTCCGGCCTCTCTGGCTCGTGAGCCCGACTATTTCCACGAACTCGCCAATCAGCCTCCCGCATTCCAGGCGAGCCCTCCCGTTCATATCACCACCGATCAGGCCGTTGCTGCCGACAAAATGCGAGAAAGACCGAAAGACTGCATCCGGCTGAGTGCCATTCCCCATCAATGCATGAATGAGGTGATTGTGCTGAGAATGCGTCAGGCGCGTAACACAGAAGAAAATCCAATCCCCGATCAGAAATCACCTCCCAGAATTTCGCTCCTATCTGGTTACCGCACTGGCCGCCCTGGATGTGAACGAGCTCGCGCATCTCGCCGACCGCGAGAAGTCTCTTGGCCAGAGGATTGGCAGAGCACCAATGCCACGCTTCCTTGAGCCAAAATGGCTACGGAGCTGCCAGTGTGAACGATGATGCTGTTGCAGCCTTTGAGGGCCTAACTAAACGGCGGCGAGAGGCGCACGCACAGACTCCATACCACAGACTCCCAACAAGCCCCACAGGGCGAGCGCAACAAAATGCCACGGACGGAGACGCCCCGCTGCGGCATCGAGGCGCGAAGCCTCCCGCACGGTCCCGAGGCGGCGCCTGCCGAGCCTGTCGGGGCGGCGCCTGCCTGTGCCTGGATTCCTCGCGAACGCGACTGCGCGGTCTGCCGCAGGCAGTCCGACGCCTCTGCTTTTTGGCCACGCACGCTTCGCGTTCGCTCGTGTCAGATCTTGATAGCGATCGCACGCGAACGAGGAGTAGGGAAAGAGTGGCAATGATGATGAAGGGGGAAGAGAAGAAGGAACCAATTCGACACGGCACGGCACGGCACACCCCTCCTCTCCTCCTCCTGCCACCTCGCCCGCCGCCAGCCGGGGACGGAGCACCCCCCCTCTCGCACGCACAACTTCGTGCGCACGAAATGGGCATGAATCTCCAGCATCGATCTCCCCCTGGAGGTTTGGACACCCGAAATGAGAACAGGAAACATGGGCACGATGGTCAACAACAATGTTTGTCCAAAACCGACAGCGGCCGTTTTTGGGGCAGCCAGTCTTCTGCTTCAAACAGACAACATCCGCGGGGACACCGACAACGAGTCCTGTTCAGAATGAACAAGAATCGCTGTCAATTTTCGTGCCCGGTCTTTCCGTACCGTGTTGATCGTACCGAGGGGGGACGGGGGTCGCTTTTCGTTCACCCTCCCTAGCAGCCGAGTCTAAAACGTGTCCCACGGCAGTTGGTCTTGTCAAGCGTTGGCTCACAGGAGCTCACCGAGGGTTCAATTCCCTCCCTGCTCTTCCCTGCTTTGCCTGCCTCCATTCCCCGTCCCCCCGTCTCCTTCCCCTCCCCCTCCCCTCCTTTCCCTCCTTCCCCCCTCTCCCCCCTCTGACACTCCCGTTCGCTTGCCCTTCCCTCCCCATCACGATGCCCCTCCATCACCCTCCCCTCGAACTCTCATCGACACTCCCTGCCCTGGGGAAACCAGCCGTTAATTACGGATACCGCTACTCGCTGGACCTCTCCCAGGGTGCGCTATGACCAGGACTTCGAAGCGAATCCAGCCGTGGCGACGAGAGCCTCCCGGGAGGTCCAAAAAGGCGGAAACGAGGAAAGGATGGCGGCATCGGTACCTCTTCCTCCTCCGATGCCCTGCAATGCGGACGCGGCCTTCAGAACCCTCGCAAGAAACCCGGCCCTGAAGACCCGCGCGCGAGGTGCGACTGGGGGGCCCAGAACACCCCTGGAAGGACGAAGTTCCTCAACGGATGCGCGAGGTCACCGCGAAGCGCGCGAACCGAAGAAACCCCGGGTACCCTGGCGAAAGGCACCTGGTATCTTCATGCGCGGCCTCACTGTACCTTTTCCTCCCCATATGCCATACCTGGCCCATTCCACTCCCTCCCTCGGAACACAGTCAATCGCATAAAAAAACATAAACGTTCGGAGGTCCGCGCAGATTTCTCGTACCAACGCTGGCCCCTCTCCCTGGCGCGTGGGGCACACCAAAAGCGGCGCCGGAGGCGCCGCCAAAAGAGCCCCAGCGCCGATCCGTGAAAGCCGCGCGGAACTGCAACAGTGCATGTTCAGGCATTTTTTGCTCCCCGACTCTCGTGCCCCAACTTGCCCATTCCACTCCATCCCTAACTCGCCATCGCTCGGACGTCCATTCCCCGTGCATTTTCCGATGCCGTGCGCGTGTTTGTGTTGCTCGATGGTCCAAGATGCTCCTCGATGGTCCTCGCAGGGAAAAATTGCACACGTCCGAGCGATGCCAAGCTAATTATCTCCGTCCCTCTCTCCCCCCTCCCGCGCAGCCTGTCGCACACGATCGGGGCGACATGCTCGAACAGGCGGCACGCACCAGCGGACACGACGTTCAGCCTCCCGCAGGCCATCAGCACGCTCATCGCCGCGACGACCAGAGGCTGCACGTCCGCCGGCGCACGAGCCTTGGCTGTGGCGAAGCACAAGGGATGCGATTGTCACGCCCTCGCGCCCGCTCCTCTCCCCGTCCCCCCTGCCCTCGGCCCTCCCCTCCCCCAGCCCTCTTCCCCCTCCCCTCCCCTCCCCTCCTCCTCTCCCGCCTCCCTCCCCGTCCCGCCTCACATGCACTGCCCCCCGTTCTCTCCTCATTCATTACCCTCCCCTTCCTCTCATGCTCCCCTCCCTCGCACTCCCGCCCCCGCCCGCCCCCCCCCCCCTGTCGGCGAGACTCGCAGATGGGGCAGGAGCAGAGGCGGAGTTGGAGGGGAACTCAGTGCGAACGGCTCCTGGAAGCAGGGGCCGTGAGCATCCGGCCAATGTCGTCCCCTGCCCCCACGTGGGGGCAGCCCCTCCTCTACGACCCCCCCCCCCTGACGTACTCCACAATAATTGAGCAGGGACCGATCGTCCCGGCATCCCTGTAGTCCTACCACGAAATGTTATTAGAACCCTCAAATGTTCTTAAAACAAGACAGTCCCAGCCAAAAATGTTCTAAGAACATTTCGTGGATACCACAAAAGGTTCTTAGAACATTGTTTGGTAGGGCTAAGGCGAGCCGGGACGCGTCGCCACTGCTTATTAAGGAAACAAGCAATGACATTCTCGATCGGCGGTGGCCCCCCCTTCCCTGGCGCGCGCAGCGCGCCGGGACGGCGCCAGAGGAACCGCCGGGGGGGCTCCAGCTCCGATCCGAGAACTCTGCGTGGACCTCAAACATTTTTTATGTTTATGCCATTCGTGGTTCTCCGATCACCGTCATGACTACCTACCAGGCCACCCCAACCCGGCCCGAAGACCCGAATTTCGGGTTGGGGGAGGGGGTACGGGCTTCACGTGTTTTTGTTTAAATGTTGGCCGACACCCCCCCACTGAAAATGGAGGGCAGATTGGGGCCTTCGGGTTGGGCTGGGGGCGGTTTGGTTTGGTGGGTGGTGAAGTCAATCATCCTGCGAGAATGGCCCAGATTCCGAACATCCCGACTCGCGGCATAGAAGGGGGCGGAGGGCGAGGCCCGCTGCCCGAGAGCCGCTGGGACGGCCGAGCGTAGGCCCAGAAAGGACCAGGGTTGGCCAAGGTCGGCCTAGCGTATGGATAGGCCCAGGGTAGGCGGACTCAGGGCCAGGGAGATCCAGGGTAGGCGTCCCCCCGGGTTTTATATAGGGAACGCCTGACACATCATCACAGCCCGGCGCGGTGTCCTCGGTCGACAGTGCAATGGCCGCCGGCGTCCCCGCCCTCCCCAACTACCCTCTCCTACTCCGTCCTCCCTCCTCCCTCTCCTCGCCCTCCTGCCCTTCCCGCCCCTCCTCCTTCGACCCTCCTCCTCCATAACTTCGCTCTTCCCTCCCCAATGTCCCTCCCCTACTTCCTTCTCCCTCTCGCCTCGACGTCCCAGCCTCTCGCCACCCCCAACATTCCGATGCAGGCAAGGAAGGATATGGAAGGGGGAGGGGAGTGGAGCGAGGCGGGGGGAGGACCGATCTAGCCAGATCTAGAGGTCGACAGTTACGCAGCCTGCTCTCAGGGCACTCCCAGGGCCCATCTCTGACGGCGAGACAAGGATGACGGCCACTTGATGAAATCCCCCAAAAGCTGCCTACACTGGCGCTCCAACAGGCGCGAACTGAACCCAACATTGCAGCTGACGATGCTCTCTCCTGCCTCCCGCGTCCGTGCTCTCAGGCTGCTGCATTCGCACTACTGACGATCCTGCGCACGAGTTTATGCCAACGCTGTAGTCGACCGTATCAGTTGCCACTGCCTTCCGCTGGCTCCGACCGACGACGGGCCCATCGCTGTTGCTGATGACGTTGGCTTTGCGTCTTTCCTTCTTTTGTCTTGCTACCGCTGCTGGCCTTTCTCGCCCGCCTGGGCACGCTTGCTGAGGCTGAACAAGCTGGGTTCTGCAGCGTCCCCCAGCTGGTCGCCTCTGCCAGCCGCGGCGGACCACTCTTGGGGAAATAGGACGAGCTTGCGCCGTCGAGAAATTCAACAGGCTGGCCAGGCAGAAACCTCTGAAAAATCAAATGGAAGGCTAGGATATGAGCCTCGTGGGGCCCATTTGAGCAGCCTCTAAGAAGCCTCCTTTGCTGGCGAAGTGGCCTGGACAGCTGTCATGGGGCGATCGTCGGCGTCGCGCAAGCCTGGAAGCGACGCTGGCGGCTCGTGGAGCCTAACTACTTGGGGGCGCCAGCCCCCCCATGCGGAGCCGTCTTGGATCGCGGTCGGGGGCTTCAGGGGCCCGAACCACGTCGGTCTGGGCGCCCTCTTGGGCCGCCGTGCAGCTCGGGGATGCAGAACAAGCTGGACGACTGAAAACGTAGAAAAACCATTGGACAAACAATGAAAAGGGCCTCAGAGAGCCCTCCGGGGAGGCCTCTTGGAAGCATGCCGTGTCGACGAAGTCGCTCAGGGGGCTGTCTACGATCGTCAGCGTCGCGCAGGCCTGGGAACGACTCTGGCGGCTCGTGGAGCCCACTTGGGGGCGCTGGCCCTCCCGCGCGGAGCCGTCTTGGATCGCGGTTGGGAGCCCCAGGGGCCCGAAACACATCGGTCTGGACGCCCTTTCGGGCCGCCGTGCAGCGTGGGGATTTAGAACAAGCTGGATGAATGAAAACGTAAAAAAAAATTGAACAAACAAGAGCAAGGCCTCAGAGAGCCCTCCGGGGAGGCCTCTTGGAAGCATGACGTGTCGACGAAGTCTTTCGGGGGGCTGTCTTGGGGCGACCGCCGGCGTCGCGGGGATCTTGGAGCGCCCCGGGCCGCTCTGTGACCCTACTGGGGCGCGCCGATCCCCCCGTGCGGATCCACCTGGGGACAGGGGGCGTCCGGGGCAGGACAAGGGCGGTTGAGGCACCCTCTGGGGCTGCCGCGCCGCGCGGGGATGCAGAAGAGGCTGCATGGGGAAAAACGTGGAAAAATATAAGACAACCGAATGCAAGGGCTTCGGGGAACTCTCCTGGAGGCCCCTGGGAGGCTCCTGGGAAACCTGGGGCGCCGGGCGGGGACAACCCCTCGAGCTCCCCGCAACCTTTCGGGGCTCTGGTGGCTTCGGGCGGACGGGAAACTGAAAAAAAAAAAAAAACCCAAGATGAAGGCCCTGGGCCCCCCATGCCCTGCCGATGCCCCTGGGCGGGGCCCCCCCGGCCACGCCCCCCGGGGCTCTGGAGGGCCCGGGTGGCAGAAATTAATTAAAAACACAAAGAAAGCAAGGCCCTGGGCCCCCCGTGCCCCGGCCCCAGGCCCGCCGCGCCCCGGCGAGGTCCCTGGGCGGGCCCCCCCCGGCCGCGCCCCCCTGTATATATGTATTATGTATGTACGTATGTGTATATATATATATATATATGCATACACATATAATATATATATATATATATACACATATTTATTTATCCACATATAATACACATCTACATATTCATATACATATGTATATATATACATACAAGACATTTCGATACATACATGCATGCATCTCACGCGTTGCAGCGCGGGTGGATGGACGTGTGCAAAGTGCAAGCTATGCGCCGACATTGGAATCGCAGACGCGCTGCGTCGCCAACTTTCACTGCGTGGATTTTGGAATATAGGGCGCCATAGCTGCCAGCGCGCAGTTGCCCGAATGGGTCTGACAGGCGCTGCAGCGCGAACGTTCGATGCTCAGGGGCTGGAAAAGCGCAGAAGCGCAAACCTCCTCCTCCTCGCGATCGCACCCCCCCCTTCTGGTCCTTCTCGCGCCCCTCTTCCATTCCCCCCCCCAAGTGTCCTTCAATGCTGAATTAGATGGAGAGGCGTCGCAGCGACAAAGCTCAATGCTGAATGGAATGGGGAGGCGCCGCAGCGCGAAACTTCAATGCTGAATTGGCTTGAAATGCGTCGCGTGCAAGCCTTCGATGCTGAATGAACTGTAGAAACGCTGAAGCGTACATCGCGCTGAGATCGTTCGTAATCGCGTTCCCTCCCCGCGCTCTAGAACGGGCGAATCGAGCGCGCCCCCCCCCCGCGCGTCGACGCGCGCCGTCGCCGCCCGCCGCGGCCGCTCGCGTGATCTTCGTCTTCCCGGCAGCCGGGCGGGACTGCAGCGCGCGGTCAACGTCGCGCTTCTTGGCGGCGGCCTCTTCAAGCGACGCGTCGAAGACGCGCTTCATCTCCTCCGCCTTACTCGCCGCGCCCTCGAAGAGCGCGCTGGCCGCGCCCGGCGCCGTTCTCTGAGTTCGGACCGCAGGTCGGCGCGGGCCTGCGCTCGCATGGCCGCGTCGAGATCGCTCGCGCGGCGCCCCGCGGTCGCCGCGGCGACCGGCAGCCCCGGGCGCATCAGCTGCAAAGAGCTGCGGCGCACGGCGACGCGTCAGCCGGGCGCGAGAGCACGGCCCTCGGCAGCAAACACAGAGCAGGACAGAACACAACATTGCCACCGCGGCCAATGCACGGCGCTGCAGCGCGTGACCTGACAGCGCCGACATGGGCGCCGCGGCGCGTGAACTCGCTGACGAGGGCGCTGCAGCGCATCGCCACCTCAACAAACGCTGGCACAGGCGCTGCAACGGACGTCGCGCAGTACATGGGCGCCAGCATTGCAGCGACACACGAAGAAACACGCTAGATCTACAACAGCACGCCAAGGCGTGCAAGCACCGGGCGTCGCGACGCCAGCGCTGCAGCGCCAGCCCAGGGAACTGATGACCATGCCAGCGGTGAGCAACGTGAGGCCAGCGCTGCAGCGCCCGCCGCGTAGAAACTGACGGCAATAATGACACGCGATAAATTGTGTACAAACCAGCCGGCTTCCATCCCCCTACTTCTGCGCGCTAGCCGCGACCGCCATGCCAGCCCATCCCTATCCTCATCCTTCTCATCCGTCATCGATCCTCCTCCACATCGGAACCCCTCGTCCCTGCGTCCTCGCTCGCCCAATCCTCGTCCTTTTCTCCTTCTCCTCTCCCCCCCATCCCCAACATATTCCTG